GGGGGGCCGGGGTCCGCCCGCAGGCTGCCGGGAGGCTGAGGAGCGCAGGCAGCAGCGGGGGGGAGGAGGAGGAGGAGGAGGGCAGCACCATGACTCATTTGCAGGCAGGTCTGTCCCCTGAGACTCTGGAGAAAGCCCGGCTGGAGCTGAACGAGAACCCCGACACCTTGCACCAGGACATCCAGGAGGTGCGGGACATGGTGATTACCCGCCCGGACATCGGCTTCCTCCGCACCGACGATGCCTTCATCCTGCGTTTCCTGCGGGCCAGGAAGTTTCAGCACTTCGAGGCGTTTCGCCTCCTGGCCCAGTACTTTGAGTATCGCCAGCAGAACCTGGACATGTTCAAGAGCTTCAAGGCCACAGACCCCGGCATCAAGCAGGCGCTGAAGGATGGCTTCCCCGGGGGACTGGCCAACCTGGACCACTACGGCAGGAAGATCCTCGTCCTTTTTGCTGCCAACTGGGACCAGAGCAGGTAAATGCAGAGCCACCTGCCTGCCTTAACCCCTCGTTCCCCGGGGGGATGTGTGGGAAAAGCTGCACCAGATCAAAAGGAGGCTGGATGGGCAACAAGGGCACACCCGGCTCTACCCAGAAGGGGGCTGGGCTGCAGCATGGAGGGAGGGAGGAGGAAAGAAAGAAGTAATAAATTCTGTGGCTTAGGCCCTTTGCAACTTTCCCATCCTTTAGGCTCTGAAATTAGTAAGGAAAGCAGGAACTGCTTAGCCGCCCCTCCTAAATGAGGGATTTGAGGTTTACACCCTTCTGTCTCTCCCTTAGCTGAAGTAAGCAGACAAGGTAGATGATGCACTTTCCCAGCCTGACAAAGGCCGACTGCATTTGCTGTGCTGCTCTTTATGCTTGAGCATACACACTGAGCTGCCTAAGTTCAGTAGGAGAAAGTGGGAGATGCTGCTTGCAAATCAGGAGTATCCATCATGGTTTTGAAGCTGAAAAGTTTACCTATGCTGGAAGCTTAAGCTCTGCATCCTCTCCCTCAGCTAAAGAAAGCTCTTCCTGAGCCATCTGGAAATGCCAGGATGGAAGTTACAGTAACCACTTCTTTTTCCCACTTACACTGCTCTAAATATAAATTGCCTGTATAATATGGATCTAAGTGAAAACATGGACTTTGCAAGCAAAGCAACTTGAAGGAGGCTAGTGCAGTCCCATCCTTCAAAGTCCTTTCTGGGACTGCAGTAGCCTGAAGATGACTTAGCAGGCTCATCCAAGAACTGTCTACAATGAAGGCCCTTTCTTTTTAGTGATAGGTTATATGCTATGTGACACTATTTGGTTATTCTAAAGATGCCTCATTAAGTGCCATGCCCAATTTCTCCTGCACTCTAAAAATTACAGTCTCCAAAACTGGCTGACTTTTAGTACATGTAAATGAGTGAATCTGTTGAGAGTGAACTTTCTAAAACCTACTCCTATGAGCGCTGTACAGCTTCTCTAAGCTCTTGCTTCATAGCAGGGCTAAAATCTGAAGCACTTCTCAGCATGAAAACTTTAGTCTTGCATGGTGTCTTTGCATGAACCAGAACTCTTTTGTGCAGTCCATACAAGCTGGGCACAGGGAGAACTGAGTGCTCTGTGCAGATATCCCAAGCTCTGCTGTTTTAAAACATGAGGAGGACACAAACTGTTAGCAGCGTGGATAGAAAGGAGACAATCAGGCAGATCAGCATGCTTAAGCCTGCTCTTGAAGTATTTGTGTAGCTCTCCTCTTGCAGGCTATGTCGATAGCCACTGTGGCCAGCAGTCTCCCTGGCTGACTGTGTCAGTAGATGTACCAGGCACTGGGCTCTAGCTCAGAGGGCAGCTGGCACAGCATGTTTTCTTCCTCTCCAAAACAGGATGGCCACATTGCGTCCTGGGAATGTTTCCTGGCTCTTCCTAACCCATGAGTAACCCCAATACCCGGGGACTGGGGGAATGCTATTTGGCACAAATCAAAACTGTGCCCACGACCACGCTAACAAAGTAGATGGAGCCAAAGAAGCTGAGTAGGGAAGCAGGCATAGCATGGCAAAGGATGCTCTGAGTGGCCTTTATTTTCTTATTTCCCACATAAGGGCAAGCTCAACTTTTAATTAAAATAAACACCTAACCCAAACTCTTAAAAATCCCCAAAGGAAGAATTTGCAAATAAATAGATATTTAAACATTCTGTTGAATTATACCTCTGCCACGTTCCTTTGTCTGACCTATTGTAAACCACTATTTCTTAATATTAAAAAAAAAACCCTAAACTTTATGTGACACTTTTCAGATCATTAATTCCTAGTCCCAAGAAAACTAAGAATTTGAGTTCGGATGAAAAGTAGCATTTCAAAAAATAATTGACATGTGAAAAGGGTTGGTTTATTCTCTTCTTAATTACAGATATGCTGATATTTAAACTACGTGAAATCAGCTGTCATCTCAGTAAATTTATTGCATTCTGTTCTGTCTTTTCCATGAAGTCCTGTTCATGGAATTAATCGTATTTACATTATAATAGCAAAGTGCCTGAAGTACCCCAAAGTACCTAATGGCCATGTTTGCAATTAGGTCCCCATTGCTCTTAAGCACAGTATGCATGACATACACCTTGCCTCCAGAGTTGGGAGCTTGTTTTCAAGTAGACAAATCAGTCAGAGGGGAGAGAACTGAAGCCCAGCTGTGGGAAGTAGCTTGCTCCGAGGTATATAAGACATCAGTGACAGATCTGGGAATAGAGTTAGGTCACTTTCTTTTCTAATTAATTTAGCGCCTTCCATTATCTGGTGTTTAGCAATTACCTGAACCTGGAAGATAACTGTGCGCTCAACTTATACTGGAGTTGCTTTACATTGTGTGTTAAACTTATCTCTTGACTGACAGAGAGCTTACAGAGTGTAAACCAGCGCTCCTTGTACACTAACACTGAGAGGATCATTCTTCAAAATTTGTTTTGTTAGGATTTCTCTGTATGTTTTACAAACTTTTAAAAAAGTTAATAGTGAACAGCATGCCTCCAAATTTAGTATAGCATGTGTGTACAATTTATTATGGCCAGCATGTAACAGTTTGAAACAAAAAGTGGCAATTTGTTATTTAAATGAATAGCAGACATACTATAGAGGATTTATATAGCACCAGCAGTCTATGATTTACATAGTTCCAATTAGAAAGAAAAGCGTGGGAGGGAAAAAATTCCTATGATAAAACAAGCTTGTGCACTAGACGTTAAATCATTACATTAAAGCAGGGCCTGAAAACTGTACCAGATGTCCTACCATCTGACCAAGTAAATCAGAGTTGTATTTAAAACAAACAGAAAAATGAAAGGTGAAGGCTAGTACATTAAGTAGTGCAGCAGCTTTTCAATGGGACCCTACTTAACTCTGCCTCCTGTCTCGGCTATTAGGAAAGTCAAGAAGGATGTCATTCCTTCCAGAAACCTGGCTCATACTTGGGGAGGAATCAGCCTTCCATATTAGCTTCCAGACTGTTGATTCATAATTACATTTGGCTTGTAGGTGTGTACTTGAATTTGATGAATCTTTTTTTTTTTTTTTAATGTGTCCAGCTGGTGCTGGTATGAAGTTTTTTTCATTAATAGTACGATTAACTTCAGCTCTCTGTTGTCATGCCTATCCTGCAGTATGCTTCATGGCACCTGAACGCAAGTTCACTACAAAACCCAATGCTTTCTGATGCTGTTTATTTGAGATCTTTTCCTGCATTAATTATCTCAGAACTTTCCTGAGCAGAAGAAAAGTGCAACAGTACATAGTTCTTGTCTGTGTCATAGTAACCCAGTGAGCCCAGAACATCCTCAGTAGATATGAAAATCTGCTGTACTTGTTAGTATTAACTCTGCTGTTGCCTCAGCTAATTTACGACAGGGAAAAAGGCAGATTCAGGAGCACAGCATGCACTTATTTGCTTTAATGTGCAGAAGTGCTAGAAACTTTTCCTCCAGCTAAATGAAAGCTTAAGTTCTGCAGCCCTTAGGAGGCTGATCTGCTCCTCAGCTCACTATTAACCGCAGGTGAGTTGGTAGGGTATTTTTCAAGCTCTGCAGGACGTAGTATGACAAAATAAAATAGTAATACTACTATTAATAACAACAACTTAACAATAACAAGCTATCTGGTTAATAGAGTCAGTTTATGTTTGAAAGTAATAAGTTTCAAATAATTATTATTAACTAGTGCAAACACTATCATTTTTATACAGTTTCTCTTACTGACTAATATTGCCTTATTGTTTCCTAGCTTCCTCCATGTGTCCACATATACCTATTATCACTTATGTTTAGACTGTGAATGTTTTGGCTGAGGATCATCTTTTCGATCAATGTTTATATAAAACTTAGATGAGCTGAGTCTTCATCCATGGCAGTGACTGCTAGACTCGGGGCTAATAGAAGGAGTAATGAACCATATTAAAGATAAATCTAAAAAATAATCTGGTGAAGTTATTTATCTTTGAATTGTTTCTATTTTCTGTTCATTTGTGCAACACCAGTGGTGCTTAGCTTCAGAATGAGATCCCTGGGACTTGTTGCTACTCTTTAAACAGAATAGCTCTAATAAGAAAAGTTTCAGTCTCCCAGCTTTTCGGAGTTCAAATCTGTACCCAGACTGACAAGCCAAGGAGATCTGAGGCATCATTTCTAGATACTCCTTTGTGTATTGTGAGGGCTCTTATTTCAATGAAATTCTGAAAATATTAAGCCAGAAGAGTAGATCAGAAATGGGCTGACGGCTCAGAGACTCAGCCAGTTTTCTCTTTTAAACCCTGATGTCACAGTAGTTCATTTGACAGAAACTGTCACCTGCCAGAATGGTGATGAGTCTCCAAGACAGATTGTGCATTCCTTACGTGTTTGAGACCTTCAGGAGAGACCTGGCCTAAATTCAAACCAAGAACACTTGCCATTGGTTTCTCTTAGTTATCTATCAATTTGCATCCAGAGATGCAGATTCATTCCGCTCAGTTTTAACTTTCAAAATAACAGAAGATTTCTTGAGATCAGTAAGGATGCATGTCAGCCACAGAATTAATAGGGCAGCTGTTATGAATCAGATAATGCACATGGGAATGGGCTGGAACCAGAATCTAATTAAACAGATGCTATGGTGGTTGCCATCTACATCACTGAGACATAAAATATTGAAAATAGATGACGTAATTGGATTTGACATGAAACTTCTGTCCTCAGCCTTCTCCCTCTCTTCTGCTCTTGGCCTAGTGGGAATCACAGTGACCTCTGGGAATGAAGTGGGTGCACAGACCACAGAACCAACAGGTTAAGGTGAAAGACCATGGTGAAGTGTACTACGAAGAACTAAGAGTTCAGTTAATCGTTTTAGTTGCTGTATTCTGAGTTAAATAAAGAATTATGGCCGTAGTGAGGCGTTACCTGAGCAAGCTCCGTTGCTGTCATGGTAGAAATGGTAGCCATGCTGAAGCATTTGAAAGAATTGCTGCCACTGTGTC